CCCCCTCCCATACACATGCATCTTCTTCAATTCCATCAGCAGCGAGCCGCTGCCCAGCCAGACCAAAGCACTTTACAAACCTCTGTCACAAAGTCAGCACGCAAGAGAGAGGCTGTCCTGGGAAACGCAGCTGCAGAGGAGCTCATTTGCCCAAGGTTGCCTTCTGCAGCCGTAGCAGAGCTGGAACAGGACACAGCTCTGCGCTTTGCCCCTTATTTCTAACGCTGTCCTTGTCCTTGATTTCCATTACGCTAAACCAGGCAACAGCCTGCGCCTCCCAAGATGCAGAACAGCTCTGAGGAGCAATGCCTGCCCACCCGGCTTGTCTGCCAGCAAGGAGAGGTGTCATCTCACAGTCGTGATGTAAAAGGTATAGCATCACAGCTGGCAGGTGATCCTGTAGGAACTGGTGCTCTCTAAAAGCTGCGAAGGTGACAATGAAACACCAAGACATTACTTATTGCATCAGCCTTAGGACTGTGCTGATCGTGAGACAGCGACTGAAACATCAGGGCTGATGAGATAAACAGCATCTTCAGAGAGAGTCTGGAGGCCTAGACAGCGCTACTCCCAAACTTCATACCCATAAAGATACGGCCTTATAGTCAGAGAAGCTCAAAATACTCACAAAAAGGCTGATCTCTGATGGAGCGAGGCTTCACTTACCCACCACAATCAGCTCTTCTGGAAACACAGAGGTATCATGCGTGCACGAGCGTTTAAAAAAAATGACCTAATGACACAGAGATTCACAAGCCTTTATAGGAGACCAGGGGCTGTGGAAGGGTGTCCTACCTTCTACTAAAATTACACCAAGCGAGGACTACTGGCACAAATTCTTTTGCACTCTGTGGGGAAATACACATTTCGGGACTGTTAAATAACATTATGGCATCCCACTACCACGCAGAATTCCCAGTGTGTACGTTCATTCGCTAGAGCAGGGACACCTTCTCTTCTTCTTGACAAGAAAAAGCCATGGTCACAGCACTCATGCAATTTGCAACCTGTAGCAAACACATCAGGGCATCTCGTGAGGTCTACACACTGTGGGAAAAAGAAGCGTGCGTGCCTGTGCATTTGGAGACAGGGAGCAAAGCGCTGCTCTGCCTAATCCTTTGCCTGGTTCACTAATCAGAGACGGGGGTACCACCACAGTGCCACTAAGAAGCAGGGTGCAGGCAATCAGGCTAGGGGGTAAATACGCACTCTCCTTACAGGACACCTCTCTAGCTTCACTCACTTACCTATGTTAGCTCTGTGCTAGGACCAAACTTGATGAAATATCAACAAAATGTCAACAGTCCCTGAGAGACACCGACCTTCGCCACGGAGCAGAGTGAAACAATGACATATTTCTAAAAACTCTGCTGAGAAGTTCAATCAGACTGTCAGGTTAAAATTCCATAATAAAAATACAAGGTTGAGGTTACAAGTAGGAACTGAGATCACTCTAAACTTTAATTTACCTTTCTTGATGCCCCTGGGTTACTCTCTCTCAGATTACACAAAAATAAGCTAGACAGTTTCACTTTTTGGTTCCCTTGCATTAGGTCAGATGCTATAGAGGACTTAGCAGGAGGGAAAAACAACAGTATAGGAGCAGGTGCCAGAGATCTGGCTAGCTGGGTCTATATACTTGTGGGGCAGGTTCTTTAATTTCTCCATTTCCCCATTATTCGGAATAATAAAGAGCAACGTTGTTTCTCTCCATTGCAAAGCTTGCAACAGGCTCAGATACTGAAGTAACAAACAGCAGCACCAACAGGCCTAGGGACGCCTAAACTTTGACTGTTTTACCCCAGCAGGAGCTGGGCTTTATTTGCTTTTCAGAATCAGAGGCCTCTCTAAACAGCTTAGATGCACCCATATAAACCTGTACAGAACTGAAAGTTTAGGAAAAGTCTGATTTACCCACGTGACTTGTTACGTTCTAATACAGCCGTCGAAGTTCATGGCACTCTCACTTCTGCCTCCCCCACAGTTAATAAGCCCAACTTCCTTTTGGAAGGGTTTTCCCCTCAAAGGATAAGAACAACACTAAAAGCAAAAACAAAAACACCCACTGGGTTCTGTATCATTTTCCATTCTTCCAGGAACAGAAAGCTGTTCAGCAAAATTCACTTTTGGGCTGGTGGGGGAATGGCCATCTCTTACCACCACTCTTTCTATGGGAACAAAAGCTTCACTTTCCCCAGCTTCACTCTGGAGAGCAGGTCTGCAGGTCCTACTCCTGTACCTGATCCCTGGAGAGAGACCTGCAAGCCTGCATGCAGCTCCACAAGCACCCATTGGATTTCAGAAGCCTGCACAAGACCGACTGCAGGATGGGTCTCAAATCTGAACACAGAAGGGTCTGTCAGCATCACTGATTTTCCCTCCTGCTCTCAACAGAAGACTAAGCTAGCATTCAGCTTATCTAAGGAGGTGAGGAGGGAAGTAAAAGAACAATAGATTTCGAGCCAAAACTTTCTTCTGTAAGAGGACTGACATCAGCATTGCTTTATCATGTTCCAGAATTGCCTGATGTTAGCTGGTATCAACTGAGTCACAGCAGGAGTGCCAGGGACATTTGTTAGCATGAGGCACAGCTTTAGGGCTAGGGCAGTCTACCAGCACTGCAATCAGCCGAGATCCTCTCTTCCATTTTCCAGCTCAGTGCTCAATTCCATATTAAACAAGCACTAGTACAAGTGGAGCTGCAGAACATGAAGCTAGACAATAAAGCCCTGAAGAGCAGAGGGAAGGCAGCTCCATCTACTTTGTCTCCCTCTGGGTGGAGGGCGTAAACAGAAGTTCGATAGCTCAAACTCTGTCCTGCTGCAATCCTGAAGTCAGCTGCAGCTGGAGCAGCCCACTGCTGCCATAAAACAAAGTAGGGCAGGATGCTCTCCCCACGTCAGGGAACAGTGTCCAGCAGTGCTCAGACAAGCTGTGTTAGCTGCCTCCAGCAGGTACATGCAATACATGGGAGTCTGCATCAAATCCACCTCTGCTTCCATCTCCTTCTTGTCCCCATAGCACAATTAAGCTCCCCAGGCACTCCCCACTTGAAACGGTCGGCAATTCAGCCCCTACCAGCCCCTAATTCACACAACTCTGCTCTGAGCTGCTGCCCTCCCTGTAGTCACAAGGAGCCAATGCAGCCTTTATCCGTTGTCCTTCTCAAACATCATAGCACCTCCTGCATCCTTCCCTGTTAACAACTATGCCTTCTGCTTCATTCCTGGAATAGCTGCTAACTCTTTCCATCAAGCCAGATTCATTAACCAGCTGCTGCAGAGCTGTTTGCCTCCCCCAGGTACTCCGTGCATGTCATTTGTTAATGACTCATCTCAGACTGGGCTCATTGCAAAGATGCCCCCCTCCTTTTGCGGCACAAAGCGCATTGCTGGCACACCAGGAAAGCCAAACATGCAAACAGCTCAGTTCCCTCCAATACCCCTTTCCCTTCTCCGTCCTCTCTCGCCGTCAAGCATGGGACAGCTCTTTATTCAAAGTGCTATTTCCTCCCTTGCTTCTTTGCTGATCAAAGGCAATGTGTACCAAAGCATAAATAAGATCTTCACCCCCAGCCAGGCTTTGAGACAGAAAAAACGCAAGAACAAACTCAAAAACTTCCAACACACTAAAGAAGCTTCAGCAAACTAATGTGACTCCTGTAACTGGCAGGGAATAAACACCAAGGATGCCAAATTCACATCTATTTCCCCAGCAGACTGTGGCTTGCCGAGGAGCTAAAACGATTTCCAACGGCATTTGTATTCCTCTTGCCTCTTTGCAGGACTGATATTAAAAATGGGAAGAAAACAGCTAGTGAGGGCCACAGAACCTCTCCTCGCTAGTCAAATCTAGCAAGGAACTGGATGACCAGCACACACTGCAGCTGCCCATGCAGGAAGCCAGAAAGAGGCTCAGTCCATCTCCATCACACAGGTGTATTATACTCGGGTACACAAAGTCCACCTACATCTCCTGAGAAGCTGCCAACTAAACACTGGGAGAAGCTAGTAGTACAGAAACTAGTACTGCCACTATTTGGGAAACAGTTCCCTTGAGATGTAGGAAAGGCTTCGTGCTCTGGGCTTATTCACTTAACATCCTTCACTGGGAATTTTTTGGCTAGTATTTCTAGGGGGGAGAGCTTGCAAAGAATCAGAAACCAAGGGACTTGACCCAGAGGCAGCTGGATGGGATGTATTTAGATCCATCTCTCAAGATTAAACGCTGGTGGGCCTGCACTGCAGGCGAAGAAAAGGAGAGGAATTTACCTTCACAAGTGTACAATGAGTCCTGTGACTGAGGACTGAAAACACGCAGATGGCAAAGAATTCTGGTAGCAATAAGAGGAAGGCACACGCATTGCACAAGCGCGTGCAGGTGACAGCTGGCTGCAGGACTGAAGCATTGTCACAGTCCTCTGTTTGAACAGCTCCCCTACCCGCTCACGGAAAGCCCTCCTCTTTACAGCATGGAGCAAAGTGAAATGCAAGGGCCAAACTACAAAGCAGTACTCTGCTAGACCCAGAGGAAGGAATGAACTGGCCTAAGACAGAGCACAACTACAAACCTTCCACAATCAGGCATCAAAGGTGTTTAAGGCTCAGGACATCGGGCACAGCTGCTGGCTTTGCCACAGATCCTTCTGCACAGATTTGGACAAAGATGAACTACTGACAAAACGGGAAAAGCACTTCCCTGCCTCCTGGATGCATCAGGGAGATTAGTCAGACCTTCTGGTAACATAACAGCAAGAATCAAGTAGATGCTCAAGTGAGTAAGTGCTGTTGGACTACAAGCCTAAAGCAGCCTTAAAGCCAAGACTCCAGACTCCGACATTAAATCAGCATTTTTAATTTTTTTTCTAAAATGTGCTTTTTTGTGAACTGCTGTTTCAATGCCAACCCCATCCTTCCCCTTAAAAAAAAAAAACCCACACCTTGCCAAAGTAGGTGCAAATCACCTGAAGTTAGTCTGTAACAAATAAAAAACACAAAACAAAGGCTGCAATGCTTTAGAATCACAACAATGTACAAAAAAGGGAGGAAAATACAACCTGAAAGTGTCCAAAATTCAGAAAGACTAGTCAAGTCCATTGCTTCAGCAAGGGGATGCTGCTGCGACCCCTGCCAGTGGGTCCTGGGCCACCAGCCTGCCACGATGCTAAACGGGCTCTTCTCCCATGCAGACCTCTGTCGCTAGCATCCAAGGAAGAGCAAATGTATTACCCTTTGAAGGTATCAATGGGGGAAAGAACTCACAAGCAGCTCTGGGAGGTCACATCACATTCAGAAGGAACAGTTTCTAGTATGCCCCTAACCACCTGCAAGAAGGAAGGCTTGAAAGAGCAGCCTGCTTCCTCCTTATTGTATTGAGGCCTCAGAGATGCAGAACAGTGCTTTAAATCTGTGAGAGATTAAAGGGCTTAGTAAGGGCAGTAAACAGAGAGTTAAGTAAACAGCCCAGCACTGGATCTCATCTTCACAGAGCGAGGTAGTGTGAATTCCACCCCAGTTTAAAATAGACAGGGGTAGCGGAAAGGCTGAAGACTTCCATGTAAAGCAGTTCCTGACCTAGAAACCTTTCTGTGCTCCCTTTGGGAATAGAAAGATCTGTGTTGATGGCTTCCTCGCTCCCAGCCTGGCTTTGGTAGCCACACTTCAACCCTGGGATTCAGACACTTGCTACAGAAGTTCTCCCAAGATCTGATTTAGTACAGCAGCTTCCTCAAGGTTAAGCAGCAATGAGACTGGCTGGGAGAGAGAAAAACTGTCCACAGATATTTTTTTTTCCTGCCCCTTTTGGTTAGTCCCTCTCTTTAGAAGTCCCTCTTTACAGGACCAGAACAGGAACACCCTGGAAATTAATAGGGGCTGCACAGTGTAACTTAGCCAGGTGCTGCTAACTGGGAGCTGTATTCAAACAGGGCTTTTATTTGCCAGCCTGGAAGGGACTGGCCCAGAACCCACTGAAAAAGGAGACGCAGGCCCTTTTTTGCTCCTCCTGTTGTCATTCCTAGCTGAATGACATTTGGATGGTATGTTCTAGTGACGGCTGGAGACCAGCCCTTTGACTTTGGACATCTTCTTTGTGGGCTGCCTTTGTTCTGTGTGTGGAGGGCACTCTCGCTCTACCAGCTGCTGTTCCATCTCCTGGGCCGACGACGAGGCTGTAGCTTTTAATGTTTTCTTTATGTTTGTGACCTGGCCAAGAAGAGACAGTGAATCAGCACCTGCTTCTTCCTCCCCTTGCAGTAGAAACTCTGTTCATAAACATATTGAAAAACCCCTGGAGTATAGAGTGGAGATTATAAAATAAACTTTCCCACCAGAAACATGCTTTGCACTTGTGTTTATTAAAGGTAATGTTTCATCCTCACTTACAGCCAGAGTTGTTAATATTTCCAGTCTGGCTCTAATACGGAATAACTAGAGATTACTCCCCCCCCCCCCCCCCAACACAC